ATGAATCTACGTCAAAGGAAACTATACGCTCGGTTTGGTCAAATACCACTATAATCTTTCTGCCTTTTACATTCAGAAATAACTTCGAACATGAACACACGCCCGTTTGAACGAACTTTCACGCGTTTCTGCGCGAATTCATGCAACCGCACCTGGTTTCGTTCGTTTTTTGCGCGCCCTACTCGACGAACCGTATCTTGAAGAGACAAAATTTCGATAACCTGAAAGTTCGAAATTTTTTCAAAAACTGTTTTCAAAAATTCCTCAGACTGAAAAGTACCGTTATAAAATTTTAACGCGTGTATTTGTAAATATTTTAAGCACTTCCAATTTTTGATTTTTAAATTCTGTTATCAAGTGAAAACACATGCATAGCTGTGAATATAAAAAAAAAAAAATTATAATGTATTTACAATGAATTATAAAATTCGTATTTATAATTATTTATAATTATTAAGTATGTTATACATCGAAATACTGTTGTAATATGTAGGTCTTCAGATATACAAGAGAATATGGAAATATACACTTGAACCGTTGATGCAATCATTTTGATTGCTCTTTTATTTTTTGCTCTCGTTATTTTAAATCACATTGCTGAAATCACGTAATTTTAAATCACATTGCTTGAAATATCACGCGTGGAAAAACACTGCGACTATATCTGTACTTTTTAAAAAATCACGTTATGATTCTGTGTGAATTCGAATTTACACGAAGTGTAATAGAACATGACTGAAAAGAGGATTTTATTTATATGTTTTATTAAGATAAATTCTCTTCATAATGTTCACCGTGTATACCGAGATTAATTAGAACTGTTAATCTTAAATATGAACTTCTCTTGTTATTAGAATAATTAATCTCTTGATCTTCTTCCAAAAAACACTTTGCAAAGCAGTTTTACAACACGAGGAGAAGAAAAATGAACTTCGTTACGAGTTACAAAGTGCCACAACGTTCTTTGTAACATTCTCTGTTCTTCTTCTCCATAGTTGTAACTCTTTTAAATGCTGAATCCTTCTCCAGCACTTCTGCGAAGTTTCTCCGCAACGAGAGATCAGAACGACCGCACAGGTAATCTAATTGCGTTCAAGAATTTAGTGTCCAGCATATTACTGTTCTGCCTCGTTGAAATAACTGCAAAATTCTCGCCGTCATTTGTAATTCCTCTGAATTACTATCGTAATACAAATTGTAGCGAGACACTGTGCGACAAAGTTGCGTTGTCTTCGAGGGCTACATCCTCGCGCACTCTAAAAAAACTTCGTCCTCGATAACCGAGTTTCTATGAATTTCGTATTTTAAAAATTCACTACTCGTTCCAGGATCAGATTCGCCGAAGAACCCAGATACATTGATGCAAGAGCTTCCATATGAATTATGCAATGGATCCACACAGTGTGTCCGGAGCTCGTGCTTCGTACGAGTTCCTGCGATCCTCCACAATAGAATCACTATAGATACGAGACGAACGTGGGACGACCATTATTAGTATAAACACCAATACGTTCTATCCATTCTAAATTGTTTCGTACTTGTGTCTCAACAAAAGTGTCAAGGATCTGGAACAAATCTTGAGCCTCTATGCCTGCATTCATTAGCATGTATGTGGATTGTTCATGGAACATTGTTTAATACAAACACCGACACGTTCCAATCTAAATTGTCTTCTACCACAGAGATAAAAAGAATGTCCTGGACAAATCTCGATTAGACAATTGTCAATACCGCAAACATCAACACACAATTTGTCCAATCAAAATTGTCAAGAATCCTTCCAAGGATCCATGTATCATATATCATATAGATATACCAATACATCTTATCCAATCTGAATATTTTCCAACCATGAAAACGTCAGAAACCTCGAATAAACTTGGAGTAATTAACGTCAACATGGATCATTCATCGAAAGTCAAATAAGCATCCTTCATCCAAATTCGTGTTCTCGAGCACGTGACTACTTCTCCAAGTAGCTTCCGCGTAGATCACAGTATTTACTGTGTCTACAGCAACCTCTGCCTTGAAATGGCAGAGCTTTCGAACGATAGTTCCATCTTTACAAATTCCTCGTTTCTACATGTTCTTCAAGGGTAGCTCTTCGTACATATATATATATATATATGTATCACGTCTCGGGATAGCATTGTCTCGCGTTAACTCATATCTCACCCGTTCGTTATAACATGTTCCAAGCAAAAACTGTTCGCTATTTGGGTCGCAAGGTGCAACAATATTAATGACCTGTCTTCGTTTCGGCACTGCATCGCTACGCAGCAGGTAGATTTACTTTCGAAAACAACCGTATGAACGCGGCACGTCGTACATATACGGCATACGCAACTGAGAGCTAACTCTTTGACATACATACATATATACGAAGGGGTTAACATGTTCACATATGACGCGTCTGTCATATCTTACAGCAGAACGCTTCACGCGCTTGCCACGTGATATCAAAATAAACGTTTTGGTGACAGTAATCCTTTGTCATGTCGATTTTCGGAGAATTGTCATCGGCCTGTATGAACAACTACATGTCGATTGTAACTTGTGATCGTAACTTGTTCAAAAAACGTGTATCGAGTTAGCAAAACGCTGTTATGACTCTTTGTCCTGGTTTTTGGATTTTTGGTGTCTTCTAGTAAAATAGTATATATAAATAAGTGACTGTGTGTTGATTATAATTCATGTTATGACTGTTGTGGCTGTAGCGGATTTTCATGCAAATTCAAATTTTTATAGGTACAACAATAGACATGGAAATAAAATGTTGAGACCTGTTTCGTTTCTTAAATGTTATAGAAAATTCTATACTTTAAATATTTGATGTATTTCTGCTGCATATCGTGTGCTTTCTGCGAACTTTTTTATATTATTATATTTCAACTATTATTAACAGTTTTACTTTTCATTTCTAAAGTCTAAATATATTATATTAAACATGAGGTTGGGATTACAAGCTGCAACATCAATCGTTTCCAACATCGGTTCCTTCGGCACATCAGGAATTCCGTTTGATGCAAATATTACGAAAGAGAAGTTGTGACTTATTTAATTATTATGAAAGAGAATCGCAACTCAAGGGAAACTGTGAGACACTGATTTAGCGTAAAGAAAAATAAACACGAATGAAACAAAAGTGAAATATTTTTTAAAAAGTTGGATGAATAACTTTTAAAAATTAGATAAATGTTTCCATCGTCCCGAACAAAATTCCAGTCTATTAAAGTAATTTTATGGCACTTATGTTTTGTGTATAATGTAAATACGTCAACAAGAATATTTAAAACACTGCAATAAATATATTACATGCTTGCTGATTAATCTTTATTTCAAACTTTATTTGAAATTCTCTATTAATATAGATCTTGAAAAACTGATCAGTATATTCTCACATAGATGTCGAAATGCATTAACGTAGTACTTTTGTTTAATAATGTTATATTAACTAAATAATGACCATTGGGAAATGATGGCGGTAAACCATCCATATTGTCGATTACATAATCTTCTCCTTGGTAAACTCTCTGAAATAATAATAAATTAAATTATATATTATATATTATTATTATATCATGCATCATATACATAACTATTTATTATGTTATATTTACTATATATTAAATAGTTATATACATAATATAAATTTTATATATATGCGTAGTAAAACAGTTCGTCAAAATAAATATCATGATTTCCGTTTTATTAGAAGAAAAAATAACGAGAGAAATAAAATATATAAAATATTGCTTGAAATATATAAATTATTTACATACCGGAGCTGGAGGACAATTATCCATATTATCCAAGTTCACTGCTCTCAGTATAGGAAGTACTATAGAATTTGAATCAGAAGCAACTTCACAAAAATTTGTTTCTATGTGGAGCCCGAGATCAACCGAATATTCACCCATTCGAACCGTGAATACGTCGGCTACTATCTATATGAAAATTTTAATGTTGTAAATATTTATTTAATAATTGGAGTAATTTTATAATTTATTCATACAATTGTGATTGGTTTGATACCAACTCTTTGATATTTTACAAATACAACATTGTACATTAATTATGAATTAAACGATAAATGTTTTCGGAAGAATTAGCCTCAAGTTTCAGTGCGTTACGAAATTATGTGAAAACATGTTTCTATTGACAATTGTATGAAATAATTATTTTTTTCACAAACTAAAGAGGAACTCAATCCTGAAAGATTCCTGAATTCATTTAGAAATTAGTATAAACATAAATATAATCATCATAAATAACTTTTAATCTATTGTACATTCTTACTAAACATCTAAAAAAATTAGTTTCATTGTTTATAAATTCATAATATCACGATTATATATATTTTACATGATTTTATGACGTCGGTATTACAAATATAATTAGTTTCTAACTTGAATTTATTAATATTCATACACTGATATACTTGCATTATATGATAATTTATTAATTGAATTCCTAACCTGCATTTCAATCACTGTTCTCACGGTATGATTATGATTTAATGATTTATATATTGATTAGACCGAAGATGATAATAAATAATACGAAACCTATTTTTATTTTCATCTGATTTTTCCAAAATTAGTTAATTAATCTGCTGAACTCTGATTTTAGTATTTTCAATATTTGGTACGTATTAAATGATGTAAATTGATCACTATTATTTCTATTATTTCTTCTTGTTGCTATTAATGTAATAAGATAATACTTGCAAACATTGCAAATATAGCAATTTTTTTCATATCTAATGCGCTCGTTATAATTCACTAATCATCAAGATGAGGTTATAAATTTCTATTCATTATTATAAGTAATTAAAACTTCATGTAAATTACTATAACAAACTCTACTAAACTAAACTGCAAATTATCAATATTCAAAGTAATTGTAAAATTCAATAAAATATGAATTAAAAAAAATTCATATTTTCACCAAAAACTAAAAAACCGTGCATCTGAATAGAAATTTGTTCCATTTTTTAAATGGATATCAAGTATCATATTTTCGATATTTTCTAATGTTACTTTCATTGTATAATTTTCTATAAATTTATAAGCACTGAAACATAATATAACATTAAATATGAAATATTAAACTAAATTAACAATCGTTCTATCACTAAATTGTTAGATCGTTAAATTTCGCGATCAAATCGCTAAATTGTTAAATTTTTCAAAGTAAATGTTCGATCCTTATTAACATCATAATTGAAAATATGTTAAACACATACCATGAGATCCTCAGGGAGTTGTTTAATGATCTCTATATACGAATTCAGACTGGCTCCGTACGTGCTATCGTAGTTCAATTCGAAATCACATGTCTTTATATATTCTTCATTTACTTGGGAACAATCAATATCTTCCAATATCACATCGTAGTCTGCCTATTAACAATACAAAATACTTTGATAATTATGAATCAAACATTTTTAGAAAAAAAAGCAATTAAAAATGTAGGACGAAAACAATTAATAAAGCTTATTCTTCACTTACATTTTCCAATCTTTCAGTTATTAAGTATGAAATATATTAGGATTTTAAGGGAAATAAACTTCTTTAAACAGACAAGTATTTTACACCATTTAGAAATAAGAATTATTCATTTTAGTATTATTTAATAAATAAATATTTTGTAATAGTGTTGGTTAATTATATTAAAAAATAATAGTTACAATATTCTTATTTCTCATTAACGAAAAATATTCGTTTTCTCCAAAAACAAAGTGCTCGAAACTTTCAAACATGAAGTGAGACTTTTCCATGTCATTTCACTAAATGTGTTACATCGAAATGAAAATAAATTTATTACTCGTACACAGCTTAATTTGTCATTTACAAGGAAAAAATTAATTATTCAATTATTTTATGCTCACCTGCACCACGTACCACTGTAAAGCACAAACTATCAACAACCAAAGACGCATCCTGACAGACGTGTCAAGTACTCTGTTCAATTTGCAAACGAATAATATTGCACGTTGTTTCTGTCATTCGTTAGAAAAAAGAAAAATACGATCTGCTAACGTAACGTCTAATGGATGCGCGATTTTATCAGATGTTGCGAAACTACCACAATGAAAAATTATTTTGAAACACCCGTCACGAACACCGTAATTAGAAAGATCATAATAATTCTCGCTACACCACTATTATGTTATTATTTATTATTAAATATACTTATGTTTTTTCGTCGCAAAAGATTGCGACACTTATATCAGACACATTATCTAACATTTTCTCAAAACTATATTCGTGCTAATAAACGTGCAAAGAACGATGCTCAAGGAATCTTTCGCAATGAAACGTTTATGATACATTTACATATACGGCAAAATAAATATATTGAACGTATCCTACGTAAAGAAAAATCTATCATTAGTATCATGAATTTAAACTTTAATCTAAACATAAAATCGAATCTAAATTTAAAATTGTAAAAGATGAACAATGATTGAATTGTTAAGAAAATGGGAAAAAAAATTAAATGCAACAATAAAATATTGAACGTATTAAATTCAACGATCTTCAATAAATTCGATGCCAATAAAAGATCGGAAAATAATCACTGTCTCATTTTATAGTTTCTGTTCCGTTTTTCCCTCACCTAGAACTACATTAGAAATTGAAATTTCCCAGAGTAATGTGCATATCAACAGAAATGATCTTCTCTCGGTCTAGAGAAGATCTCCCAACCTTTATCAATGTCCATTCTCCTCTTCACGTGACCTTATATTGAAAAGAATACGAAATGAAGCAGCTCATCGACCGTTAACATTGGCTGCCAGTTAATCGACAAAACGAACATAACGTGACTTGTGTCCGCTATTTTTCGATTTCTGACCCCGAACGAGTTACCGTTGCAGACTGAAGCAATATACTAACTTACTGACCGAAGGATAAATTTACGATATCGCTGATGCGAAGCATTCCTTTCACGATGAAATTCTCGCTTTCCGCGATTGAATAAACCAAGCAATCGCATTGTACGAAAAGTAGAAAATAAATGAACAACACGATTTTAATCACATGTAATTTTAATCGAAGTCATTCTAACTTTTCGACGTTTCCTAATTTGTTTAATACCATGAAATATGCTGAGATAAATATAAATAGGAAAGAATTTCGAACTTTTGGAAAAAAAAAAAATCTGGAACAATAGGAAGATTAAATTGAAATTAAAATTGATTTGTCAGATATAATCTTTTAATCCCTTTGGACTTCCAAAAAAAAAGAAAATGTAAAAAAGATTCTCAGATTTATTTAATTGTACAATCGATTCAAATCATTGCAAAGTTTCCCAGACAGAATGAAAATTCGCTTCGAAAAAGTCACGAGTGGAATTTCGTAAACGACCTAGATCATCAAAGAAGAATTGAACGTTCTACGTAAGACTAATACTCAATTTTAATTAAAAAAAAAAAAAATATATATATATATATACATCTGTATAAGCATCACTAATCCGACGATAACCCAAAGTCTCCCTTATTTGTGACGAGTCGCTCTCGAAACACGAAAACGAAATTTCTCCTCAAAGAGATAAATCGACAAAGCGAAGCGGGAAGTTTCGGAAACGTTAACCGAGCGACCTGGGTAGGTCACTTCGATAATACAGCCGGTGTCGTTGGAACGGTGAACGCTTTACGAGCTTATTCCAATTCCGACTGGACGGGCACACGGCTAAATAGATTTCGTCAATTCATTTGCCACTTGATCTAGCCGCGCATTTCAATTATATGTGTACTCTTTGTCGGCAGCGTGGCATCGTCGCCGTGCACACGCGTGTCACAGCGACGCGACGGTTCCTGATAAAGTCGTGGGAGCGGATGCGGTTCACGATACAATTGAATTAATCTCGATCGAACAACAGTGTGCCGCAAAACGAAACAGGAAATCGCGTTGTCGCGCGCAAAATCGAGCAAACGGGGCCAGCCCCGAATCTATTGCCCGTTATTAGCCGTTACTGTTTTCCAGAACGTTGCTCGTTATTGGCCTCCGCCATTGGCCACGTTTTTTTCTTCCTCTTCCCATCTATTTCTCTATGCCGCGCTTCGTTAATTAGAATGCAATCCGGTGCGACGCGATTAAATTACTCGACTAGAAGTAACATACGATTGCGCGTCAGCTTGATCGTTCGAAACGCGAGAGCATAACGATTCTATACGCAGAGTCGCTGATCTTTAGACTTATATTTGTAACAGAACAATCGTGTAAGCCGCCAGTTTAACTATTTCATCGAGTCTTATTCCGACGGACAGAACGCTAATAGAAATGTGACGACCATGTCAGACTTTCAGGTTTTGACAACTATATTTTCAATTTGCTACTGTGTCCTCCCTAACTCGCTTCTCATTTGTCGTTTGTCATCACACGACAACGAAGACAATCAGGTGAGCTTGTTGATCGACTACGCCGATTTTGATGACTTTTGAATTTCGCTGTTGTACGTATGCTGAAGATAAAAGGATGATTCCGAGTTTTTAAAAATTAAGGAATCTATCAGCTCAAATAAATGTGACAGGAATTTAAAAAAAGAAGAACCCCTCAGATATAATTATTGTAAAACGAGTATTTAATTCTAGACTTTCTACGATATTCTTGTACGAAAAATGTACAAATTCGAACGAAATATTTTCCATACACCAATAAATTAGTTATCCATATATCAAAACTACGTATTATTTATTTTCTAATTTAATGGATACGTACATCTATACAAATATCTAACCGAAATCGCAGCCAATCAGCTCGTATTAATTGCCATATAATTAATAATTGTATCAGTTATATAATTAATTGTTTAACTATATAATAATGCAATTAGTAATTATATATCAAGTAATACGATTGTCCAGGTCTCACCACGTGGAGGTGCTGCGAGTGGAGACCCACCCTATCCGCGG